AACTGGAGGACGATCTACTGTCGCGCCTTTCGTCGGCGGGTGAGAATATTTTAGGTGACACGGCGCTGGTGGAGAACCTGGAGACCACGAAGAGCACCGCCTCGGAGATCGAGCAGAAGGTGGCTGAGGCGAAGATAACCTCTAAGGAGATCGACAAGGCCCGAGAATACTACAGACCGGCGGCGGCTAGAGCCAGTTTGCTGTACTTCATCCTAAACGAACTAAACACTATCAACCCGATATATCAGTTTTCACTGAAGGTTGGTCATAATAACTTCACATTTGGATGGCCTTATTATAATAAATTTCATATACTTACAGGCTTTTAGTGTAGTGTTCCAAAAGGCCATAGCCAAGGCTGAACCTGGCGATACTTTGGATTTGCGTGTCTCCAATCTGATTGATTGTATAACGTATTCGGTGTTTCAGTACACTTCGCGTGGTCTTTTCGAATGCGACAAGCTCATCTTCGCCTCGCAAATGACATTTCAGGTAAGACCTATCCTGCAACCATTTAAGTGGTGAGCACTTCAATGACTTCTCTTGATTCTCAATCAGATTCTTCTTATGAACGAGGAGGTTACATCGGCGGAACTGGACTTCTTGCTCCGCTTCCCGATCAAGCCACATGTGACAAGTCCTGTGGATTTTCTGACCAATCAATCGTGGGGCGGAATATGCAGTCTAGCGTCCAAAGATGAATTCAGGAACTTGGACCGCGACATCGAGACCTCCTCGAAGCGTTGGAAGAAGCTGGTCGAATCGGAGCTGCCGGAAAAGGAGAAATTCCCGCAGGAATGGAAGAACAAAACGGCTCTACAAAGACTTTGCATGATCAGGGCCTTAAGGCCTGATCGCATGACTTATGCTTTAGCGTACGTAGATTCTAGTAACATTTGTCTACCGGATATATAAAGATTATCTTGTATTCCAAACAGCGACTTTATTGAGGAAAAACTTGGATCGAAATATGTAGAAAGCCGCGCCATGGAGTTCGCGAAATCGTACGAGGAAGCAAGTCCCTCCACCCCCATATTCTTCATCCTCTCGCCAGGTGTAAATCCACTCAAGGATGTGGAGGCGCTGGGCAAACAAATGGGTTTCAGCATGGATCTGGGTAATTTCCATAATGTGTCTTTGGGACAGGGCCAGGAAGCCATAGCGGAGGCCGCCATGGACACGGCGGCCAAGCATGGCCACTGGGTGGTCCTGCAGAACATCCACTTGGTTAGGAAGTGGCTGCCGGTGCTGGAGAAGAAGCTTGAGTACTATGCCGAGGACTCGCATCCGGACTATCGCATGTTTCTGAGTGCAGAGCCAGCCTCTACACCTTCTGCCCACATAATACCGCAGGTGAGTCCATTTGTTCTAAGTTATTTTTCATCTTTATACTGATTGCCATTCCTTTCCATAAAATTATTAATTACATCAACAGACACCAAAAGAATAGATTCGGTTCTTTCTTCTAAATACAAAATATAAAAAATTCACAAAATACTCTACGAGTAACGGGTTTTAAAAATCTTGATAGCCGAGTAAAATAACTTAAGAATTTTAGTTTTTCTCGTAAAGCCATAAAGAGAATCATAAGTCTTTGATGGGATTAGTCTTATCACGTATTAAATCGAAAACTTAAGCAATTATTTAATGTATTTCGAAACTATTCATTTTTCCAATCGCTTTCAGGGCATCTTGGAGTCATCAATTAAGATCACCAACGAGCCTCCAACTGGAATGTTGGCTAATCTTCACAAGGCGTTGGATAACTTCACCCAGGAAACACTCGAGATGTCGGGCAAGGAGGCAGAGTTCAAAGCCATCCTTTTCTCCCTCTGCTATTTTCACGCTGTGGTCGCTGAGCGTCGAAAGTTTGGGCCCCAGGGCTGGAACAAGATCTATCCATTCAACGTGGGTGATCTCAACATCAGTGTGTCGGTGCTGTATAACTACCTGGAGGCGAATGCCAAGGTGCCGTGGGAGGATCTGCGCTACCTGTTCGGCGAAATCATGTACGGGGGTCATATTACGGACGACTGGGACCGAAGGCTTTGCATCACCTACTTGGAGGAGTACATGCAGCCGGATTTGGTGGATGGCGAGCTCTTTCTGGCGCCCTCATTTCCCGCTCCGCCCAACACGGACTACCAGGGATACCACACCTACGTGGACGAAATGATGCCGGCGGAATCACCTTACTTGTACGGACTGCATCCCAATGCGGAGATTGGGTTCCTTACCACGCGTGCGGAGAACATCTTTCGCACGGTGTTCGAGATGCAGCCCCGGGATGCTGGAGCCGGAGGAGGGGCAACGGTGACCCGCGAGGACAAGGTCAAACAGATCGTCGATGAGATCATCGAGAAGCTGCCCGAGGAGTTCAACATGGTCGAGATCATGAACAAGGTGGAGGAGCGCACGCCGTATGTGATAGTGGCCTTTCAGGAGTGCGAGCGGATGAACTTCCTCACCAGTGAGATGAAGCGCAGCCTAAAGGAGTTGGACTTGGGCTTAAAGGGTGAATTGACCATTACATCGGACATGGAGGTGCTGGAGAATTCACTGTTTTTGGATCAAGTGCCGCCCATTTGGACGCAACGTGCGTATCCTTCGCTCTTGGGTCTCAACAACTGGTTCATCGATCTGTGCCTGCGTCTGCGCGAACTGGAGACCTGGTCCACTGATTTTGTAGTGAGTGATTCGCAATACCAATGTGGCCTAAGAGAGAACCCTAACGTCGCTGAAATCCCTTCCCATAGCTACCCTCTTGCGTCTGGCTGGCTGGGTTCTTTAACCCCCAATCCCTGCTTACGGCGATCATGCAGAGCACCGCCCGTAGAAATGATCTGCCGCTGGACAAGATGTGCCTCCAGTGTGACGTGACCAAGAAGCAGAAGGAGGAATTTACGTGAGTGCCGCTCCCATTGCCACGCCAATTCCCAATTGACTCTTGAGGTGACCCCTTCCCGGGAATGCTTACACTATCATGAGCAAGAGGTGCTTTGTACGAATCTCAGATTCGCAATCGTCACAGGTTCCAAGAATATTTTATTAGTTTATTTTCGAAAATCAAGAGAATTGCTGAGAAGTTCTTGCGAAGAGATAAATATCCCACAATTTGTCTAAGGTTGGAGGTGTTCAGTTTCTTCTAAAACGGAAAAGTTTTTATTACACATCTGCCACATTAGGTGTTGGTATCTACTGTACCATTGTAAGAAATGAGACTCTTATTTGTTTAATCCCCAAACATTTTAGTGAGGAAAGAGATCACTCCATCTTTGAATTAGCCCTACAATTTGATTCCCCTCCTGCTCCCTCCTTTAATCTCCTGCTCCGCCCGACCTTATTTGCTCATAGCTAGCTCAAACCCAATCGCATAATGTAATGTTGTGACATGTAATCATACCTCCAAGCTGGAAAAAATCCAGCTGCGGCCAATGGCCAGCGAGTGTGTTTAAAAATAGGCACAATGCTATTTCATAAGAGCTAATTTTAAACCAGCACTGGAGTATAAATATGTGAGACTTATTAATAGCCCGCAAATTACAATTGTCTATTTACTCAATGGCTGATTGGGCTGATGAGCTGATTGCTTATTAAGTGGCGCCCCGCCAGCCACGTTTCACATGGCGACGCTGGTGGGAGAACAATGGAGATCCGTCGCGCCGTCGTCGGAATTAATATGCATCTCTGCATGGAGATTAGCATCGACACCCGCCCCTTTAGTTGGCTTTTGGCTAGACCCGTGGCTATCTATAGTTGCGGTATCTGAGAAGATCTTGTAATTGCAGGACGGCCCCGCGCGACGGCTGCTGCGTGCATGGGATTTTCATGGAGGGCGCCAGGTGGGACATCCAGCAGGGAATCATCATGGAGTCGCGCCTCAAGGAGCTCTACCCTTCCATGCCGGTGATCAACATTCGGGTGAGTTTGAAATGCAAATCGGGCGAATGCTAAAATCCGCAAATCGGCGAATCGAGGGCGGATCTGTGGCGTCTCAGTGCTGGCGCATGTTGGCATAAATTCGAAAACTAGATTCCACTCCATTATTCTACTACACTGAATGCGATTCCAATTCCGATTCAATATAACCTCGTCTATGTACCGCAGGCAATCACCCAAGATAAGCAAGATCTGAGGAACATGTACGAGTGCCCGGTCTACAAAACCCGCACTCGAGGCCCCACCACCTATGTGTCCAACTTGAATCTGAAGACCAAAGACAAGCCGGGCAAATGGATTCTGGCTGGCGTAGCGCTGCTCTTGCAGACCTGAACTAAATGCTTAACTTAACTTATTTATCTAACGTAACTTAACTTAAACAACTTTGTAGTTTTTTCTAGTTCACAACTTAGAACAATAAGCTAGACCAATGTACCAAGTTTTATCGTAGACTCCAAGTTTGACTTTCGATTTCTTCCTTAGAGTGCACCGTTTTTATAATAAAACACCTCCTATGTAGACTTGCCTTAGGCGCACTAGCATAAAACCTAAAAGCAATGCCGAACTTATTTTGACTGGAGGGGGATTCATTGTGGTATATTGATACTCAATTGCAAATAGGTAAAACCGCCCCTAATTCTTTTTGTCGTGACTTCATTTGTTTACCATGCAATTGTTTACATTCGGTAGGTTATACCCCGTGAAAACCACCGCCAATTGATAATATTCTTCGTGGCGACTGTGTGAATGCGACGTAGTCGGCAGCTGATAAGTCTGAAAATTCCAAAAATCTTAATGGAAATGCTAAATCCAAAGCGTCGCGTATTCATAAATAACAAGCGTAGTATACATATGTATCTGTATCTGGGGGGAAGCATCATCAAAGAAAATTCATAGACTCTGCTGAGTGGAGTGAACTCGTGGCCATCGCAAACTGAAACAAATAATTTTCATATTTTTTGCCCTGCTTTCTTTTTTATTTTGTATTTCGTCTTATTTGTATTGCGACCTGACTCTCCCGCTCTACAGAGCTCTATAGCTCTCAGATTGCGATAAGCGTGTGCCGAGTCTGTTCGGAAATGCTGACGAAATTTTGAACGATTTTCGAAGCATCCCGAGCATCTCAGTATTGAGCGGTACGTGAACCAATTGACAGCGGTCAGCGATGAGGAGCAAACTTTTCAGTGACTGCATAAATACATGAATTATTCAAACTCAAAAAACCCAGCAGCAACAACAAGTTCGACCACGACAACGTGACCTGCCTGTAGAGTTATCGATCAAACGACCGACCCGACCGATCCACCGATCTACCGATCTACCCATCCGATTTCGGAGCCCTGCCCCGCGTCATCTGGCGTACTCCAGCCCAGCTAACAGCAGCCGCATCCACCATTCCCAATACCAAATACAAAATACCCAATAACCAATACCCGAGGAAAAAACACAATAAAACAATCTGAAATCAGAAATCAACTACAGGCGAAATGTGCGGAGAAACAAAAAGAAAATTAAAGACGACGACACGAGCGTAAATCTTTTTAGCATGAAAAAATTCTATAAAACTAACAGGCACTGTGTGGTCGGACATCATTCGAGCGCTACGACGGCAGACGACAGCCGCAGATACAGATACAGATACGGATACCGAGATACCGAGATACAGATTCAGATACCAAATACCGAGATACAAATAGCTGGTCGGACGGACAGGGCCTGATTGATTGATTGCCGAGCCCGGCCCCATCTCCTGCCCAAAAATCCAAAATCAAAGCCCACACCCAAACCAGACTCAAAATCTCTCTGCATCAAAGTATCTGCAACAGCACAGTCATCGGCTTCGCCATCCCAGCATCCATATCTAACAGCGGTCAGCATCAGCATCAGCATCCCAGTACCAGTACCAGTACCACTACCAATACCAATACCAATCCGAGTCCCAGTCCCAGCGGACAACGTCCAGCCGTCAAGCCATCAATCAGTCACCGAGTCACCGCGTCAGTTAGTCAATCGAATCGACTAGCCCACTCGACTTTTGCTTCTGGCTGGAGGATATCTTCGGTCGGCGCTTTAGTTTCAGTTCGCATTTGGACGCGTGCTGTGCGGCCTCGCCGATAGAGAGATTCGGATCGGAACGTAATTCTGAATTCTCAGTACCCAGCGCTCAGTGCTCAGTGCTCAGTTCTCAGTTCCCAGTTCTCAGTTCTAAGTTCTTAATTCTCAAATCTCAGTTATGAGCTCTCAATTCTGAATCAGAATTAGAATCAGAATCAGAAAAGAAAAAGAATCGTGCGCGAATAAGTCTACAACGTATCGAGAACCAAAACACTGGCGCACACACGTGTCTGAAGTTCAGTGACAAGCCCCAAATCAGGCGTCTATATTCCATTGAATATATATAAATCGTGAAATCGTAAAGCACTTTTAATCAGCTAGAAACCAAGCGCAGGCACGGCATAATTAATTCGTCTGACCCGCAAAGTTCTTGCAAAGCAAATACGATTGTGCAAAGTGTTGGCCATCGCATCGATAAAGTGTAAACTACTCCAGCCAATCCGAAAACTAAACCAACTAGTAACAGCATGAAGCTCTCAGCAGTATTGTTGGCCAGTGAGTATATTATTCTAAAATATTTTAAATTAATTGCATAGACAGATTACATGAAGCGCCGAAATCTACGTTGCGCACTGAATCATATATCAAGACGTGAGAAGAAAGAAAAATAGGATTTATGTGGAATTTTCTGTCATTAAAATATAATCATTTTTCCTGGGGTTTTCTTTTTTGTTTAACTTGAAGAACATTTTTATGTCAAATAAATAACATCTTTACGACGCTTTCTAAGAAAATTAGATAAGCATTAAAGAAATTTAATTTATATGTTTGCTAAATACGAGGTCAAACTAGTGTATATACCATTTCTTCAGCACAGGGATTAGAATCTATAGCATTCTTATCAATAAAAAACAAATAAATCAGTTTCAATTGTATAACAGAGCAACTCTCCTTGATAACAATTTGAATCTAATTCCTTAAATACTATTTTAGGGGTTTTCCCACTAATATTACGTTAAGTTGTATACAATTCAACACAGTCTGATTTATCAACTTTCACATTCTTGAATTTGTGTTTGGCACTCTACTTAAACGCCTATTTTTCTGCATTAATACAATGTATCTTACTGCTGCCAGTTTTGCAAATGAGATCTGTGACGATCAGAACTAATAGGAGGCTAAAACTAAAAAAGCTTACACAAAGAAAGAGATTTCGGAATACACTGCTAAGTATTTTGCACAAGCCCAATGAACTTCATTCATATGCAATCGCAAATCTTATGAATGGAAAATTTCATACTTCGATTGAGTCATTGGGTTAGACACCCCAGCAACGCAGTTTCGTAGTGCGGACTTCGTTCCGTTGCGTGCCGACATGGTTAATTGGGTATGCAGCGCTAATTCCAGGGGACGGCAATCGCCCCTCCCATAGGAAACTCAGGAAACTCTGATTCGTTGGCATTGCCAGACGCTCTGGCGTCGCGGAGAATCGATGGGCGGTGGGAGATGGGCGATGTGGGGATGTGATTGTGGGTAATATCATGGGCGATGGGTTGATCAGGGCACTTTGTATGCGGGCCCTGTTCAAGGGTAGTGGTTCTTTCGCACGGCTCCTGCCTAACTAATTGGGTCTGATGCCTCCGTCTATTTATAGTGGCGCTGCTTGCCCTCTCGCTGGTCCAGTGCCTCGGCCTGCCCGATCCCAGCACCAAGTGCGTCATGGAGTGCGACACGCAGGAGTACCGATCCATTTGTGCTGCGGACGACAAGGGCTCCACGAAGACCTATCGCAATCTGTGCGTGATGAAGACGGAAAATTGCCTCCAGAATGCAAGTAAGTGTATTGGGAAACTTTCCAAATTCCTGGCCATACATATGCAAACCACAATTATTAACATAAAATATTTGTAGTTTTATCTACAACTCATCAATTAATAAAACCCTTTCTCGTGCTCTTACTTAGACTTTCAAAAGATCAGCGACAAGGAGTGTCCGTAGAGCTATGGATCCATTGATCTGTAGTCCAGCGGAAATAACTTAATCATGGAGGAGAGCGAGTTGACGCGGTTTGGCATTCCGGAGGACTCTTCTTTCTCGCGTGGTATTTGTGTGTGATATTTTTAAGTTGTACTTCAGCGGAATACAGAGCACGCCCCGAACGTAATGCATAATGATAATGTATTCTAAAATTATTAATAATATATATTAAATAAAGTAATCGTAACACGCAAAGCCTAACTCAGTTCCTTGACCATCACAATGTTGACAAGACGTAATAGGTGATGATTTCATTTCCGTTTCACCCCAGCGAACAGCCAATCCGTCGTCTATACTCACAGCGCCCTGATCTTCTAATCTGTGCCCTGTATTTCTCAGATTGGAATTAAGTCATCAGACCGATTTAGAAAATCGGATCTTGATTGTCGGCACACACAAACGCTGTTGCTTTACCGGCTCTTACAAAAGGCTTTGACGCATTTCGGTGTAATAGAAGGGACATTTTTGTGTTTGTTTTCTCTTTTAATTTTTGAAAGCAATAAAGTCTAACAAGATTTCTTTGGGCTTTGCGCCGTTTAACAATAATTTTATTTTGAACAAAGCATTTGATCGCAAGTAGACATTGAGATTTTAAAATTGCTAAACCTATATACAGATATTTCGGTGGGCCAAGTTTGAAACAAGCTCGTAATTTCCAAATAAACAATAGTGACTTTAGGCATGAGGAATCCGTTTTATGTTTGACAGTATTTTAACTTCATGTTTTGAAATGAAAGTTTTCATCCATTGGGTTTCAGGAGACTGTTTAGAACAGTGACTACTTTTATAGATAAATTATGAAAAACTTTTGAAGTTTATTCATTTGAATATTTTATATATGTGATATCGAACTGTTTACATTTACAACCCAATGATTTGACAGTCGGAAATATATTCGACGAAACCTGCCATGATTGCCTAGTAGACTATTTGTTTGTTTGGAAATGTGACCATTCAGTTTTCGTAATAGGAAGATAGTTGTATCCCTCAACTCGACCCATCCTAGTAATACATTATTCATATTAATACATTAAAACTTCTGGAGTCGCAGCTCCACTTGTAGAGCAATACAGGCTCGTCGTTCCTCCTTTAGTTCCATGCCCAGCATATTCTTCTTGTGCTCTAGCAACGCATTTTCTCGTGTGTAATGCTCGATTATCCGCTCATAGTCGGATTCCGGGGGAGCCTGAGATCCCGTGGCCAAGGAGGCCATTTGGCTGTTTATTGACTGCTGCTCGTACAATTGCTTAAGCCTGTAGACTTCGTTGCGCTCAGCGACGATACGTGCTTTTAGTTCGTTCTGCCATTCCATCAGCTCATCATATTCGATTTGAAGACGAAGCAAATTTTCGCGGTGCGGATTTGACTTGGGGAGCAAAATAAAGCCTGTGCTGGGATCAATAGTAAAAACGTTAGGACCATCTTTTATGGATACTGAATCGGTTTTTGGCTCTTCCTGGGAAATACTGTTGTTCGTAGATACGCCCGGAGTTAATGTTTGTTTGGAATCAGTGGTATCTTCACTGGCTACCGTGGGCGGAGCACTGCTGCTGTCGTCTAATTCCTCCGCAGTCTTTTCCTGTTTCTTCTCAAAAGTGCGCAGTTTCCGCTTCAGCTGGGTAATAATGCGCTGAACTTCCCACAGCTGTTCCTCGCGTTTCTTGGTAATGAACCCGGCGTTCATTTCGCTGTGGATCTGGGACAGGAGGCTGTCCTGCTTTCGTAACTCCGTCTGGATGTCCTCCGGCGTTTCCGGAAGCTTTGGGTTCGCCGATGTAAGCGGGGGCACATACCTAAGAGTAACATTTTAGTCAGATGATTACTTTGTATAAATGTGTGCCATTCTGCCTGATTAGGAATCTGGCGAAACGCGGAAAGCGCTTCTGTTTACGGGGTAATGTGCTCATCCTCGGTAGCAAAAAAAACGACTAAATCTGGCGACTTTTATAGCATATGTCTTATCAACTGCCAACAGTGGTGGGAATTATCTGGGTTGGTAAAGGTACCTATTATATTATACATTTTCAAAACAATTCATGTCATCAGATAAATATGAAATGAAGACAGTAACAGTTTAGTAGTCAATTTCTTAGTAGTGTCTTTTAAAAGTTATAAGTAAGCTATTGCCCATATTCGTTGGATTTTAATTCGATCCACTTATTGAGTTGGTGAATGTGGACATGTCTTACACAACACAAAGGTACTTGGATATTTCCCACCACTGTTATCCGGCTAGCCGGTGTTTGCTCACTTTATCAGCTTGACGTCCGCGAACAAGTTGTTGCAGTGGCAAAGTAGGGCCACCATTAATCGGTGAGACATCTGGAGCGTCGGACTGAGCAGCATTGCCAGCGATTGGGCGTTGAGCTTGTTGTACCTTTCCTGCTGGATCACCGCGTCGAAGTGGAGCAGCACCCACGCCAACACAGTGCGGTTGCACTTGGGCAGTTGTTCGAGCAGCTGCTGCAGCTCTGCCTGCTGCGTGGTCACCCTCGGATGAGATGCTACCTCCTCAAAGCGGGCCACCAGATCGGTAGTCAGCAGTGGCTCCGGCAGTTCGCGCAGGAAGAGCTTCAGCAGACTGCAGGCGGTAGGCAGGTTGAGCTCATCGACGGCGGAGTCGTGCTCCCGGTTGTTGTACAACCGCTTAAAGTGCATCAGACGCGTCTTGATGGGCTCAATCTTGTAGATCTGCTCACACTTCAGGTGATCCTGCAGGAAATCGATGCAGTCGCGCACAACCAGAGGAATGTCCACGCCGTCGTGGCAGCGAGATCGTTCGATGGCCAAGCTGACGGACACCCCGAAGACGGGATATCCAAGTGCCAACACTTCTTCCGCGGCGGAGGCGTCATCCTGCTGCTGCGACAGCTGTTTGCTCTTCTTATCCTTTTTGTCCTTCTTGTCAGCCTTCTTGTCCTTTTCCTTGCGCTTTTCCTCCTTTTCCTTTTTCTTGGGCTCATCACGGTCCTTGTCCTTGTCCCGTTCTTTCTCCTTGACCTTATAGGAGACGGTAGGCTCCTCGTCCGCGTGCTTTGAGTCCCTTTCGGACTTGTCACGTGACTTTTCGCGCTTCTCCTTGCTCTTGGAGCTGGTGAACTTAAAGGTCTTTGACTTCTTCGACTTGGTGGGACTTCTGGGAGTAAAAGAAAAAAATATAACTTATGCCTGGGTTGGCTGACCTGCACCCACTTGGTGTCCAACTCTTCTTCCGGCGAGCTCTCGCCTTCCAGGGCTGCGTATCCGCGATCCTTTCCTTTTTCCTTCTTGTCCTTGCGCCGGCCGATCAACAAGTCTTTTTTACTATGCTCGTGGTCCTCACTAACTGCAAAGCCAAGGTCAACCCATTGATTTTTTCCCAGCTTACGCCCACATCTTTTCGCTCCACTCACAGTCGCTCTCTTCCTTGCTCTTCCTCGACTTGGCATCCGCCGCCTCGGAGGCGTACAGCCCGGGAAACTCCTTCTCCTCGGGACTGTCGAAATCCATGACAAATAAATCACTTCGCCAGCAGTAAATAAATAATTTTCGTAAACAATTCGCGTAAACAACATATGCAACAAATAATCGATTAAACAATCGAAATCGCGGCTGCTTTCCAACACTGTTTAGCGTACAGATGGCGCTACTGTGCCATGTAGACAAAATGTAGTAACGGAGTAGATATTTAAAAACATCAAATAGAACTCTACTGTAAAAGTCCGAAGTATGATTCGGAGAATTGACAGAATGCACATTTACTTCTTCTAAAAACTACATTCCCTCCCATTGCAGGATTTTTTTTAATTTTTGGCAAGACAAATTATAAAATGAAAATAAATCAAACCACTTTTTTGAGGTTGTGGGCGTACCAGTATACCACGGTAGGCTCTTATATTAGACATCAAATATACTTGCACAAATCAGGCGACCCTAGAATCTGCATGCTTAATATAAACAAAACAGCTCTTATAGTTCCCGAGACCTCGGACAGACAAGCACAACAACTGTTATTTAACAACTTCCAAAAATCGGTGTGTTTCCCTTGGTCCGCACTCCATGGAATTCGGCGGAAGAAAAGTTATCAGCTCGACTCGCAGTAATGGAAGAGAGAAGAGAGAATACAGCGATCAAGAAAATATTCATATTTATTGGATTTACCAAATCAATAACTATGCGACATATGTGTACCTATTAGGGTCGCAAACGCTTCCTTATAACTGTTGCATACTTTTTACACTACGAGTTGGGGGTTGTATAGCAAATAAATTAATCAGTATAATTATTCAACAACAAATCAATTCCGCGATGCGTCGCTTATCGCTCAACTAGCCACTGGGGTAGAGAGTAGGGAGGATGGGGGAGGAATCGCATCCATTACCGGCAAGCCAAACAAATGCTAATAGTGCCAGCTGATGCGGCTGATGCAATTCCGCACGGTGGATTGCGGCATCTCCAAAATGCTACGCAGATTAGCTTGCGGCCATTATAAACTGGCCATCAGCAGCTGCGAGCCGTTGAGAGCCAAGGATAGTGGCGTGGCCATCGTTGTCGTGGTCGCGTTTCCGCTAATTGCTCTATTTGGCTGACAGACACTGGCGGAATAGGCCATAACCAGTCCAGCAATCAGGGTCAGCAGGAAAGTCAGGCCCAGGACCCCGCAGCTGAGGCGCCGCACGGTCTGCCACCAGGGATCCAGAGCGAAGGGCAGCAGCTCCTCGAGCGTCAGACCGTAGGAATAGCTGCGAAAGAAGCGGGGAGAGGGCACTGTGTAACGAAGTTATTTTTTAATGAAATGCGACGGAAAGCGTTTACTCAGCAGTTGTGAAAATGGGCTCATAATCCTTTGAATCCTTCCCCGTCGCGGACACGACAATGATGTGCTGTTGCTGCCGGTTCTGATGTCCTTGTTGCGTTGCCAGAAGCGCTGTCTTCTCATTGCAGGACATATTTGCCTTGTGGTATCCTGGATGTGTGCAGAACAAGGGTATATGCAGTTTATATCAGCTTTGAGGAATGAGTTGCAACAATAAATCCTAGTGCATGGCAACTATTAACTTTGACTTTGGCTATATTTATATACTAGAGATATTTCTAAAAAGCTCATCATTTTGATAAATAAAGTTCTAAAGTAGCACCTTGCAGTCACCAAAGTTAACAATAAATGGGAACTGGGTATTTATCAGTCGACACCTTTCTAAGCCCTTTTTCGTGTACGACTCACTCTCGGGTACCGGTACCAGGATTACAAACACTCCCTGCTGGAAATTGCTCCGTTCAGAACTGGCGGACTACTGGCGACTGGCTGCGTTCTGTCGCAACTTTAATTAGCTTGCAGCTGGGTTGTCTCTCAGTCCAATTGCTTTATTGCCATTGCTGTTTGTCTTTGTGCTCGGTCCGGATTCCTGTAAACAACTTTATCTCCACGGGCCGTGTGCTCCGCTCATCTTCCGCAACTGGCGGTTGGTCTTATCTGGAGGCGCTTTTTTGGGGCATTACATAACCGCAGCCGAGCAGTCGCTTCCCCCAGTTTCCCATAGCGATAGGGATAATCCCAAGACTTCAGGAAAGTAAAAAGATCACAGCAAGATCGATCGGTTTAATGTGTTAGTTTATTGGGATTCGGTTGGTAAACATGCACGGAATACATATATTCGAATCCAGTAACTCTAGGGCCTAGGCTCTATTCGATTCGATAAGGTAATACGATAAGCCATACTCCTCCGATTCTTAAAAGATCCTAGCTTTCGTTACGACAACGGGTATTTTCTTATAGTGAGTACGAGTATATATTCAAATATGTAGCTTTCGATAGGGTATTTTCTTATAGCGTGTTGAAGTGAGAAGAGATACGGTTAGTGAGATCGGTGGATCGTCACCCCAAGCATATGCTACACCAATCTACATATGTATGTGGTATTTGATCTTTTCGACTATTTGCATACTTTATCGGTTCAGTAAATACGAGTATATGTTTGTAGTTGCTTTGGTTTTTGGGTAAAATCACATTCATAAGTATACATTTAAAAATGCAGGTATAATTTGAATTCGAAAAACACGATAACAAACAGCAAATGATTAATATTGTACAATACACATACATATTAACTGCTTGGTCTGCTTATCGAAACATATAGATTCGAATCCTATTAACTATGGTACACATACGTAATTTGTAAGTTCGTCAAATGAAAAGGAAATTATATAAACGCAAGCTGAATCAGACTAAATTAGACATATAGATTCGAACCCAATTAACTATCTGTACAACTGATTCTGAAGTTGTTTAAATCAATACAAAATGGTAAAATATCAGGTAAAAAATCAGAGTAAAATGGGACCAATAATTTGCTAAAGTAATATGCTCTTGCTTTTCATACAGATACGCTTTCTACTCCTAGTTTTCTAGAAGTACCTACACCCTATGTCGGAAGCACTTAAATCGTTTTATTTGCCTTTGCCATTAAAGATAATCGTCTATGGGTAATTTGTTTGCATGGTTTCTTATATATCTGGTTATCCTCTCTGTCGTATTGTTACATTCACTGCTCCTCAGCACTTTTCCTATACTATTCGATTTATTCGCACTATATTGATTTCCTTGCCACGGATTTCTTACCCTGACCCTGGTCGTTACAAATAACCGTCTGTTAACTGCATTTTGTAAATTTCGCGATCTATGAAAATCCTAGGAATATTCAGATATCGTCCGAACTTTATTTTAATAATGAAAATAAAAAGGCAATGATTGAAATAAATTTAAAAATAAATTTAATTATAGTATCTAGCAGTAAACGTTGACAGTATAACGTAGTACATTATTATTTATTCATGTTTGTATATTTATTAAATTGTTTTATAGTTCGTATATGTATGCAGTAATTAATAATCAATTACGTCTAAATTTGGCGCAGTTTTCTCAACGAGTTCCCCGTACAGTTGTGTGACCCCAAATATATAATACAAATTTATGCATGTGGCTATAAATATCATTATGCTCCTCTTTCGACCATTAAATTGCTAGAATTTTGCTATATGAAAATAGTACATTATACAAAAAATATGTACCTGCTCGTTACATTTGGTTTACAATCAATTCTAATTATTCTCCTTATTATTTCGGTATTGTTTTGGTGTTTGCCTTAATATCCAGATTTCTCTTCTTCGATCCCAGCGACGTAAGCGAATAGAAAGTCTTTTTTAAGTAAATTGATTAGTGCTCACTGGTAGTTTTCGTAGTTCTTTCTACTGCAGTGTGGACACACTGGTGGTCAATCTGGCTAATCGCTAATCGCTAGTAAGTAGTGCCGCCTTTTGCTTTGGTCAGAGTTAATGAAAGTGTTTCTAGTTGGACTTGTGTCGATAGTGTGTGGTGACTAGAACTAGTTGTCAAGGAGGCCCCTAATCAGTAGTAGTAGTTATAATTGTTGTATTTGTAGTAGATGGCTAGAGGGACTGCGTTTCTTCTTGGCTAAAACCTTTAGATTTCTTCTAAAACTTACACATGTATTAAATTAACAATGGTTTTCGGCAAATGGAGAGACAATATCGAGTTTGGAGTACTGAATCAGATTTAAACTCTAAATCGATTCCGATTTTCCCGTTTTGATTTTATGGGGTCGATTAAGTACAGCCTTTACAAACAACAACAATGACTTAACTTGTACACAGAATGAATAATAAATATAATCGTATTCTTTAGAAAGTAAATTAAGTATATATGGCATAACAGTAAATGATCTCTTTACGGTTACAAGATTGCTGAGCCGTGGCAGCTTTTTTGTATTTACAATTTAATTTATGAATAGAGATAATAATCGTAAAAATGGTTTGTATATAAGCCTGGCTTAAACCTAGTTAAACTTTTAAATTTTACTTTTAGTATTAACATAAATTTTACAGAAGAAATATTTATATATCGCGCCGAGCACATTCATATATATATAAATCAATTTCATAAGTTTACATATAAAAACTGCATCTATAGCATCTTTCGATAGCTTCTAAGTATCGGCTAGCTCTGTCCTTCTTCGCATAGATCGTCTCCAATTTGACGGAAATATCCAACGCCAATGCGAATAACCAAGTCGAAGTCATTCCAACGCGACAGCGGACTCCTTAAACCCGAATGACATCGTAGGCTTCCAGTATGCATATGACTACGTAGAACACCCACAGGAATACCAGGATCGCTGCGCTGATGTACTTGGAGTTTCTCGGACCGCCCAGCTCGGCGCCAATGCCCTTGTGCCAGCGCCGGAACATGATGAGCATAATGGCAATCAGGGCCTCGCCGCAGAAAAGCGCCACGGCAAATCCAATGCTGAAATTATAAGTTGGTTAGTATTAAGGATATGCTTGGATGCTTACTCGTCTGGTTGCTTAAATTGCAGATATATATTTAATTTGATATTAGTTGCAGTACCAATTATTGTGACCATTTTTTTAAGTGCAGGTAGTAAAATTGCTATCATTAACAATCTTTCTATATGTGGTAGCTTAATAAGCAGTACTGCAACTATTACCAACTATTAGCAACTATTATTATATATATTTTTTATTTGTTAAGAAACCTTATTATTTAGTCAGAAATTTAATGATCTACTGTTGCTTTTTGGCCTGCACTTACAGAATAAAAACATGCAACTTCGATTAACTTATTAATCAATCAATAAGAAAACGGTAACGTTTCTCAGATATTTTAATCAAATTTCCCATTGCGCTAACCTATGTAGTCTACTTGCGCAAGTTTCAAGAACATAAATATTTAATTTAATAGTAGTAATTTTGGTGCAAGCACTTTACATATTAAAGGTGAACTTAAGAACAAGGAATACTCACGTCCCCGGCTCTACATTGAAGGTCAACCCATGGGAGCTGTGGTAGACGGCGGCGATGGTCCAGGCCAGGCCGATACCCAGGAACACGTTGACCGCATTGCTGCCCGTGACATTGCCGATGCAATTATCGGCACCCTCGTCATGCTTGGCGGCAATCATGCTGGCGAATGTATCTGGAGGGCAGATGGGAGTCCGGGGTGTGTGAAGGTTGAATTTCAGCCGGCGGTTTGGAGTCACTCACCTGGTATGCTTGTGCCCAGGGCGACAAACAGGATGGCCGTTACCGAGTCCTTGATGTTGAGGGCGCAGCCGAAATAGGAGGCGGCATCTCCGATGATGGCAGTTATGACGCCAATCACGAATATGGATACCACAAAGGTAACGTAGCCGCCGCAAATGTCTGGAGACGGGGCGGTGGTTATGGATTGACTACTTGGACAGAAAAAGGATACTTGCCTGTGGGCGGCACAAATGCAAAGAGAACCTTCCAGAAGAGGCACACGAGGTGGCTCACGTAGCTTAAGCAGCTGGGAACCTCTTCCTCAACATCGTCGTTATCAAACTCACTTTCTTCGGCTGCAAAAGTTGGTTTGCATCATGAAAATGGATTGATTGCAAATTGAAAAATCGAGTTCGTGTACCTGGGATAACGGTGAGGGCATCTTTGAACTGTTCCTTCCAGGACGAAGTGCCAAGGACGGCAGAAACGTTCGCTTTGGCCACCAGCTTGTCGACTGTAGCCTGTATGTTTTATAAACGAATAATGATAATAAACTGAAACTAACCCTTATATACCTTCAAGGAGCTGATATTAAACACCCTTCAGAAAAGGCAAGTCAGAACCCAGGATTGATGGCAACTTTTTCCCAGCTCGCATTACGTATACGCCACCGACAGACAATAAGCACACACAGACCCAAAACAAACAGAACACTCAACGTGTCATTTGGAGATTTGCACACAATTATGTGCTCATTTGCCGTGCACCTGAGCGCTTACCGGTAACTCGATATGGCACTCGGATAAGGACGTGGCTTTCCACCTGGGATTCATAATGGGTGTGACGGTCTCGAATTCACTTCACTGCGCGAATGTAAATGTGAGCTGGGATTTACGGGCCATCAAGTGAATGTGATTGTCTTTCATCAGCATTTTGAAACTATTAGCGTATATATATGCTATCTGAGCTATCCAATCCAATCAAGGGTAATCCACTCACCTTGAATTCCTGGCTCTCTCGGATGCGCACATATGCGGTGGTCAGTTCTCCGTTTCTCGGCTTGCTCAGTAGCAGGATGCGATCCAGTTCGGTCAGATCCTGAACGGCTTTTTTCTCGACCTCCTTGATTTTGTCTGCCAATTCGTCGTCTGCGAGGGAGGTGTTGAAATAGTTAATCAACTGATTTTGATTAAGATTAGTAAACACCGTATTGCATGCAGCCACACCCCCACAACAGAATATCTTAAGTTTAGATGAATGAAAATAGGGTATAACTAGACAG